CCCTGAGCCTCTGGCCTGTACCCCAGTTCTGTATCTACAAATAAATAAATCTTTAAAAAAAAAAAATTCTATGACTTTAAATAGATAAAGGTATAAGGACATGTATCAATCATTATAATATTGTACAGAGTATTTTCACAGCCCCCCAAAAGGAATTGCTGTTATAATCCTAAACCATTGCATGTAAAAATGTCTTTTACACCATATTTAATACTTCCTAAACTCTAAATAAAATATCTCATGCAGTTTAGCAGAAGAAAAATAAAACTTTGAGTGAAATAGCTCTATGATTTTTCATCATGAGACATTGGCTCATACATACCGCAAAATCAGGTCAAAATTTTATAAATGTCATTATTAAAAATAACTGATCTTGAATCATGTAAGAGGTGCCTTATAAACCTATTCTATGTTTCTAAATGAAAAAAAAAATTCACACTCTCCTATCAGGTATACCCTCTTTTCCTCATTCATTTCAACCTCACCCTCTTTTGCCTCCTAAGTCATTTTGTGGGCATTTACAAAATATGGCAAATCACATAATGACATGGCTGAGTTTTCAAATGAAGTGACAGAGATACTCACTGTGGTTTTCAAGGCTTCCAAATATGTGCCATCATTTTCTTTCCACTTTTTCCTGCATGCCCCAGGCAAGATTCGCTTATAAATACATGCCAGTCATCATTCTCGGAACAGTCTAGTTCTCTTAGCAGCTAAAAGAACTTCCTTTGACATGACACCCACTCTTCATTATCCCCTGTTCCCAGAGAGCTAGTTTAAATGCCATCTAGATACACCATCCAGATTTTCACCATCAAATACTAATGGCCCTCCCCTGTTAAATGTGTGTGTGTTTGTGGATTTAATCATGCAATCCTTATTACAGCCTCCTATCATTTTTGCTGTAATATCTTTTGTTCATTTGAAATTACAATATCCTATAAGGCAAGTTCATATTGCTCTATTTTGAACCCTTTGGGTTAAGTCAAAGGCAGATTTTAGCAGTGAATCTTTGTGTAAGACTCAATTCACACTGCCAGGTTAAGCATCCATCTCCAAACATCCAGATGGAACCATTAGAAATTCAAGACACTGTAACCAGATAAGGAAGAAAAAAAACTGACATGAACAGCTTATGGGCTGCTATCAAATGGGCAAAAAACTGCAGGATGGAAAAAGGCACCCACACTATGTATGTATACTTTAAATATAGTAGTGAGGAGGAGGAAGAATGGTTAGCAGAAGATACAAGGAATCAGAGTCAGAGGGGGAAATTCCATTATAGGAAAGGGCTAGAGAAGAAAGAAGAACCATAAGATGCAACAGAAAAAACCCACAGTGAAAGGAGAAGCAAAGATTGATGTTAGACATAAAATTAATATATCCTTGGATGTTGCTACAGAGTTTGCTCCATTCTCCTCCACTCTTCATGCTGTCGCTGACTGCAACTCCAACAGCCTTTGGCTATACACAGGGCTAGGTGGCAGTGGGTCCCAAACAATCAATATTAGCATAATTAATATCAATCTAGCAATGCCATGGTATCCTAGGAGCATAGCATCAGCAACATGGAAGCATGCTGACTGCATCTGAGCAGTCCATCCCTAATTGTTCCTGACCTTGAACTTTACAAATAAGAAATCTGAAGATACAGTACACTATAACTCCCTTCCTCCACTTGCCCCTTTCTCAATAAGAATTGGGCCTCAGACAGAGATACGTAAACAGGAATGGCGGGAGAATGAACCCTGGAACATCAGGATCTTTTCATCACTGTAGGAAATGAATTGCTGAAACTTCAGGTTACTCAGGAGACAGAACTACATGACAGCAACTGCCCACAAGTCCCACCCCAAAGGGGGAACAAGAGAAAGAAAATAATTCAGTTGGGTTTGAAAGCTTACCTTTTTTCTCATAAAAAAACAGAGAATTTGTCCAATGGAGAGCCCAGTGTTTACACACTCCAATTCTGATTTATTGTAAATCTGAATGAATCATGTGCTGTGCCTTTACAACATGTAAAGTGTGTTTCAAGTAGATCCACCTGTGGTGTTGTTTTTTGTTTTTTCTGTTGCAGGACCCAGAGGTAGGGAAGAGACGCCATGGAGAGCCAACCCCCACTAAAAAGACTGACTTAGACTCTTCAAAAAGATTTGTAATACCTGAAGAAAGTTATTTCTAATTGTAAAACTCTCCAGAACAAAGAGGAAATCCTCCCCTATTCTGAGACAGAAACATCTCTAAGAGCAACTCTATTACTCCCAAACACTCCTTGGCAGAGCGCATGAATGAAACATTTCTACTTCTTTCATCATCATCATATATATATAGGAATTTATAAAAGCTGGCAAGTGCCCAGCCTCCAGGAGAGCCAGGATCCTTCCTTTCCTACCTAGCCCTAAAGGATATACTCAGAGAACTACATAGCTCAGGTAATACAAGAGCTCAGCAAACACTGGGGACCGTGAATCCCAGACAAGATTGTGGATGGGCAGATCCTGTCCTCAGAGCCCTCCTCCCACCCCACCACTCCTAAGGGGCACCTCACATTTGTTACCAAATAGCCCTCCCATGCACGTAGATCTAAAGAAAAAGCAGGCTTTCGAAATCACATTGATGTATAAACTATTAAAGTTATCAAAGATCTGTCCTTTATGTCGGATATTTTCTAAAGATAGACAAAGCTCTGAATCCCAGTAAAGGTTAAATAGATGTGATAGAACTGAACTCTAGTTTCATCGTTTATGTTTCTATAACATCAGGCAAGTTTTTAACTTTTCTCAGTTTCCCATTATAGAAAATGTTACTTTGAAATATAATATGTAATATAAATCCTCATGATACCAATAAATGTATCATGTCAGTTATAATAAAAATGGCTCATGAAAAATTTGTGTAATGTCTGAAATATTTTGAAGTCAGTAGTCACTAGGGAAGGAGTGGAGACAAGTGATAGAAAAGTGGAAAAATGTTTCTGCATATTTTTATTTGAAAACTAACTTTTTAAGGTATAATATACATACATACAATAGAGTATCATTTTGAACATATAGGAGATAATAGTGGCAGATTTAGACACCCATATAAATGTCACCTGTGGAAGTAGTCTATCGATTTTATTTTCCTTTTCAAAAAAAAAACAGGTTTCCATTAGCATTATCCTTTCTAGTCACATTTTTTATTGCTGAGCAGTCTTCCACTGTCAGAAAAAGAAAGACAAAAACTAGAAGGTCTTACTTATACATTGAACACAGGAAAATGTAAAAATGAGTCAGTCAAAACTAAACTCTTAACATGAAGCACCAGAGCGGGACAGTAGAGAAGTGTGAGTGGGGATTGGAAGAGGCCCAGTAGAACATGGTGAAGGATTGTGGAGATGGACAGAGTATGAAAATAGACATTTGAGGAGGTTTGAACTTATAATCCCAGAGAAGATGCAAAGATGTAAGTCTACTTTATATCAATAAAGTTTATAGGAAAAACAGCAGGTTTTGACTTTGTGTAATTTTCATAATCTATTTATTGCCTTTTTTCTATATTATTTTATTATAAGGTTTTGTTATAGATTCCTTTTGAGGCTACAAGGTGCAATTTCTCCCAGAATTCTCCTTTAGCTTCTGGTATTTTGCTGGTAATCATTGGGGTTCCATGTGTCCTAGGTGTATCACAATGTTCTCTGCTTGTATGACATGGGGCATTCTGTCTTGTGTTTGTGGCTGTCTCTTCATCCTTAGATGAGGGTATCAGTCATAATGGATGTGAGTATGCCAGCCATATTGAATTAGTTATACTGCCTTGTGGGTTGTTTAAGACACTACACACTTGCTCCAGATTGCTGACCCAAAACCTCCTTCCTTCTTCTTGGAAAATCTAACCTGTATCATGCTGGATGTTGAAAACACAATAGTGGATCCTCATAGGGAAAACACATTCAGGAGCTGTCTCCAGCCATACCAGTGAGACACACAATTGAAAAATGTATCCATCTTAAAAGGAATGGCCACATGAAATCAAAACACCAAGCTCAGCCAGTGTAGAGTAGCAAAAGATGAAGTGGACACAGGAAGGAGATGTAGCACATGAGACCCAGACATCTGTGGGGGAGCCCTGGAGGCATGGGTCCTAGATAGAGTTGTTTTCTCCTTCCCCCAAGATCCACAGAGAGCCCACTGGTTCTTGCTCCTCTCTCCCTTCACTCTGCCTTACTTTATGCTCCTCCTCCTTATCTCTTCCCTACAAAATAAAATTCATCAAACACTTCTTGAAACTTACCTACATGGACACTTACGTCAATATAATTTCATCAAACATTAGGAAAGAGTCCACAGTTGTAAATTACAAAATATATGTTCCAATAACACTAGATAATGTAAACTAATAACAGTGAGGAAAAAATGTTTTAAAGTAATTAAAGATAAATATTAGATAAATACCATGTATATGTATGTTACAACTGGCATTATTCTTATTTGAATAGGTCATGAGTGGATGTCTTATACATATACAAGGGACAAAGGAACTTCCAGTGGTCCAGGGTGTTACAAAGAGGAAAACCATCATCAAACAGGCTTAGTTAACTGACATGTGAGCTCTCCTCTTAGGTTTCTTGTTGTGACTTTGGGTTAGTCAATGTTTAGCCAGAAGAAAAAAGATCCAGAGTTAGTAGTACTGTAAACAATTTTTCAGTAAAATTAATCAGACAAAAATAAGGGTTAACTTCAGTCAGAACAGGAGGAAGAGAAGCACAAGCCACAATAATGTACTAAAAATAGAGGTAATGTTACAGCTTTGAATCATATTCCTCATATGCTGCAATACAAAGAACACAAGTAAAAACAGGATTTTCCTATCACAAAAATGTGATGTTCTAATATTCTTTGTTATTGTGTCTCAAAGTATCATGGGTCTGTGCTCTGTACCAATTTCTCCAAACATGTTCCTAGGTGCACATGGATTAGCTTGTATAGCTGTAGAAGTCTTCTGTTCTTCACCAACTAAAGTCAGAATTTGTGGCACCATAGCTTTCTCATGGCATTTTTGACTTCTGCATTCCTCAAAGTATAAATCAGAGGATTGAGCAACGGTGTACAAATAGTGTAAAACACTGCCACCATCTTGTCCCCTGGAAATGTGGTTGCAGGGCGAGTGTATGTGAATATACAAGGAACAAAGAACAAGGTGACAACAATTATGTGGGAGGTACAGGTGGAGAGAGCTTTCCTTCTTCCCTCTGCACTCTGTTTACTTAGAGAATGTAAGATGAAAACATAGGAGATAAGCAATATGATGAAACTCACTGTGCATATGACCCCACTGTTAGACACTATGAGTAGGTTGATGACAAAAGTGTCCATGCAAGCAAGTTCCAACAAGGGTTGCAAGTCACAGAAATAATGATCAATAACATTGGGTCCACAGAAGGGTAATTTCAAAACCAAAAAAATCTGTGTTGAAGAATGGATACAAGACCCCACCCAGGCCAGAATCACCAACACATCACAAACATGCTGACTCATGATAGTTGTGTATCGAAGGGGTTTACAAATAGCCACGTAGCGATCAAAGGACATGAGTATGAGTACCAAGGTCTCTAGACATCCAAAGAAGTGAACGACAAAGATCTGGGTCAGGCACTCATTGTAGGAGATGACCTTTTTCTCAGACATGGCATCTATAATCAACCTAGGAGCCGTGGAGGTAGAGAAACAAGCATCCGCAAAGGATAGGTAGCACAGGAAGAAATACATTGGGCCCCCGAGTGTCCTGCTATTTTTTATGGTTGTCATAATAAGTACATTTGCCAACAGTGTTGCCAGGTATAGAAACAGGAAAACCACAAATACTATTTTATCCTTTAGAGGGTCCTGTGTTAGACCAAGCAAAATAAACTCATGCACACTGCTATTCCACTCCATCCTTAGTGTGTATGTAGAATAGACACAGTAGAGAAATGGTACTTCTGCAAAGAAAATTGAAAAAATGTGATTTAGCGACAGCAGGGACTTGGACTCTGAATTGCATTATGTACTAATTCTTCATATCACTCAGTGGTTCTCAAGATTTCTGTTTACTTTAATCACCATAAATAGACACAGTAGAGAAATGGTACTTCTGCAAAGAAAATTGAAAAAATGTGATTTAGCGACAGCAGGGACTTGGACTCTGAAAAACATTGGGTCCACAGAAGGGTAATTTCAAAACCAAAAAAATCTGTGTTGAAGAATGGATACAAGACCCCACCCAGGCCAGAATCACCAACACATCACAAACATGCTGACTCATGATAGTTTGTGATAGTTTGTGATGATAGTTTTTATTTTCCAATGTTGATGTCCACGTTTTCATCATGGATATTAATTTAAGAAGTTCTTGTGTCAAAGTTTTTTAGGGAAAAATAAAAGGTATTTAGTGCATATACCCTCACTCAAGTTCTGAGAACTAATGTCTATTCTATATATTCTTCAGCAAGTCATTTTAATTTCCAGAGTATTTTTTTTCTCCATATAAAAATTATATATTCTAAAGATATATATTTTAGTATACTAATGTACACATGAATTTTACATACATGATATGAAAGTGTATATGCATTTAAATTATGAAGATATATTATCCCTAAATAATTTTAAATTTAAATTTGGAGAATTGGAGAATGGCTGTTAGGAAACATTTCTTGGTTTCAGTGTGCTCAAGCTTTTTCAGTATTTTGGTTTGCTTGTACTTTTAAAAACTAATTTCTAACTATGTTTATAGTGACTATAGTTTTTATTTGTATTCTTTCAGCAGACATGAGCTATTTGAGTAACTCTGTGAGGCTGCCACAGTAAAGCAAAATTATAACACATTCAAAATAACCCATTATTCATGTCAGATATATGGCTTTAAGTTTCACATTATATGAATCTGATTTAATGTTGCATAATCTGGATAACATTTTCACTTGTACATTATTCACCACCACTATTTCTAGGCAATTCCTATTCTTACAATTTTTATCTCCCTAAAATATAAGGTTATAAATATATTTCAAATATTCAACATAAAAATGGTTCTTATTTGTTCTAGTCATCACAAATATATCTCAGTCATCCTGTAATATTATTGTAACTTCTGATTTTTATTTTTGACTGCTGGAAACATTTCCCATTTAAACACATTTCATAACACATAATCTGATTAATAACTGTAAAAATACCAAAATTTCAGAAGAGAAATGTAACTACTGATTTTTATATATTTATACATATTTATATATTTTAAATGCAATCTCAAATTTCACCCTCATAGAGACACTAAAAGCCCTTCTCATTTCTAAATATCTCTTTACTTTTAATGATTTCATCAAAATAAATTTCCATGAAAGTACTGACATAAATGTGAATATTTTAAATATTCAATAAGACTATACTGGGCTATCCAACAGAGAGAGAAAATTTTAAAATTTTTTAATTCAAACTTCACTTACCCTTTGTAATCTTATACATTTAAGTAAAACTTCTAGTTGGCTTTATAAGTTCAAGGTGTGGTAAACTAGAGATTTGATAAGCATTTTCAACTTTTTCTGAGAACTATAAAAAAGAAAATGAGGGCCCTCCCTGGTGGCGCAGCGGGTTAAAGCACAGCACTAAGAAGCTTAAGCCACTTCCACATGAGTTCGATCCCCGCCTGCCCTGGAGGAGATCCGCATGGCGCGGCAGACCTCTCCTGATCTGCCCGCTGCTCCCCTCAGCAGTGTACTTCGTCCATCTGCCTGTTCTGCTCCCCACTCTGTCTCTGGTGAATCCTCTCACCCTCCGTATCTCTGGTCTGTACCCTAGTTCTGTACGAATAAATAAATCTTAAAAGAAGAAAGAAAGAAAGAAAGAAAGAAAATGAATATGGTATCACCTATTTTCAGTACATTAGGTTCCATTGAAGTTAAAGTTAAAGACAAAAGGGAAGGATTTTTGCTGTGAAAGGAAAAGGTACTACATGAGAAGAGTGAGCAAAAAAAAATTTCTTAAGAAGACAAATGTGCCTGTTTTCAGATAACACACAGCTGATGTCCTAAAAAACTAAACACTCGTTAAATCAAAGAGTTGTGAACAAAATATGTTCCTTGTATGGACACGCATAAACTATGTAATCTATGTTCCTTTATTTTAAATAAGCAGAGAAGGCTTGTGAATCGCCAGAAAAACCTCTAGCTTTCCTGTACCTCTATCCTATGATGTTATTGATATTAGATTCATTATATAAACACAAACAAGTCCATACTGATCAAGGCAGCCTGCATTACCTATGATTCTGTTCCAAAGCCTTATCATTTCATAGGTTTTCACTTTTGTCATCTCATCTAACCTGCACATTTTCTTGCAAGATACATGTAGTCATTGAACTACTCTGTTCACAGGTCAAAGTTTGACCTGTGATAACAGAAAATTTGCTAAACAGACTAGTATTAGAGCTGGGTTCTAACAGCCAGCCTCTCTCCAGCACCCAACTCTATGTTATATATCATATCAAATCTCATCCATGTACATTACATTCTGAAAATGAAAAAATCAGAACCATCACAGAAGGGTGTAGGTAGGTAAATTCATTTCCTGCTTTGACCCATAAAACGGTTATGCAAACTGCATAGTGAGGCAAAAATCAAAGAAGGAAACTAGATCCCTCCACTTGAATTAACAGAGAAGAGTAGGGAAAGGCAGAGACTGAATAAAGTCTGAGCAGAAGAGGAGAGCATGGGGATGAGCAGAACCAAGAAAAGAGTCAGGATGTCAATCAGGAGTCTACAGAAGAGAAGGAGTGCTCTTCAGCCCCAGAGCATCAAGCATCTTGCTGCTTTCCCCCTAACCTACTGTCCTGTCATCTGCCCTAAACCAGAAGTGGGTATGATTCTGGGTCATAAGCAAGGATGTTAAGATTCTTGAAATCCCAGGTGTGGGGAAAATTCAGCCCATTTTTATACTCTGTCCCCAAGTCATCATCACTGACTAAAACTAAAACCCTTCAAACAAAGGAACATATGGATTTAAAGATTGAGCCTGAACTATCCTCTGTAGTTCTGTGTGAAGTCTGGGCAGGATTACACAGACTCACAAAACCCTTCACTTAGGGATGTACTTGCCAGGAGTTCCTTCACTTTGTTAGAA